TATGTTTACAGGGCTGCACACACATGCACACATACAAACAGAGAGAGAGAAAGACACGCTTATCTGTTTACAAATGTGATATCAGTATCAACATGCATATTAATTCAGGACAATGCCCATAGATGCGGGCGATTAAAAAAGCTACAAGTTGGCATTTGGATACAAAGACATTACTTTGAAACATACTGCTGACAATATTGAATATTCCTGGCATGTCACAGTATAAAGACTTCCTTGATTACATAGTAAATAAAAGCTTTTTGGACAAAAAGTATTCATATCTCAAACTACATGTATGCAGCTGAATCGGTAACAGTACATTACATACAACCTACATCCAATTATTTATTCAAACATTTGACTCATTATTGACATCTTTTTGATCATAATGGATCAGAATAGTGCATGCCATTATGCTGCTAATACCCACATGAGTTTATGGTCTAAAATTGGGCCTATAGGGAATCTATACACACATATTGCTTCTTTTGCAGGTGCACACTGCAGATATAGTATGATGTGCATGCTTGTTGTTTATCATGCTGCATTTATATTGAATAGGTGCATTTTGGCTTAAGCTGCAGTTTAAAAGGCAATATGGACTATTTGCAATAAAATGTCTGTCACTTAGTTTATCTCTAATATATATACACTGTATAATTAATCAGGTGTTTGATTGGCCTTCGATTGCGCGTGAGAGCTGTGGCGCGCGCGTAAATCACAGGGATGCGGAGAATGCTGAGAGAATGTTTCTTTAAGACCCATTACCTTCCAATCCGACAGAGGGGGAGTCTGTGGTAAGGTGGCGTATCGTCTCTCTCCGCGTCCCCCCTCCTCGCCGTTTACATGTGGAAAAAGGAGAGACAGAAAGAAAAGGGAAAAAATAACACACCGAGTAAGCTTTATTCCGGTTTCGGGTGAGGGGCACCGAGGCACGATCCGCGGTGATGGACCTAAGGAATATTTAACATCAAACATGGACACTACAGACTCCCCGCGATGACTGTGGTAAGGATGCAACTTCACACCGCCCCATCGCAACCCAGTTTCCATTGAGAAGGAAAATAAGACCCATCGGTGGACGCGGAGGAGAAATATGCATGCAATAATATAATGATAAATGCATTTGTGTGCGTGCATGTGTGTGATAACAAGTATTGTGTTGTGAAGGATTGAGGGTGGTGGTGGTGTGCATGTGTATGTGTGGAAAGGGAGGTTGGGGGGGGGGGGGGGGGGTACTATTTGAATAGAGGCAAATAGGCTAATGTGAGAAAGACTATGCAATGTGCGGTGCCTATGTCAGGCATTGACAGGTGTGTTGGCAGTGCACAGCACGATTTATTTAGGGCGCGCTTGCTCGCTCCCGTTTGCATACAGTTAGGTGAGGTGAGAGAGAGGAAGAGAGAGAGAGAGAGAGAGAGAGAGAGAGAGAGAGGGGGGCAGATGATAGATACGATGCCACTGTATATTGGCCTACTATGTGTTGCTTGTAATTAATCATGGCTGTAACTAAGCCCTTTGCCGTTGGGAGCTTTGTAGTCAAACCTCCCAACTCGTCTCCCTGCTGTCACTGGGCTATATGGACCTGCCTATAATTCCATAATGTCTGGAGAAAGGCAGGCCCATTACTGAAAATGTGCGATGTGCATTTATGGGCCATTCTCCTGACGTGATGCTTTTCACAGTCGATCTCTGAAGTACAGATCCATCTTCCTCCCGTTTGCCTAAGTGCAATTTTAACACATGAGGAGCCAATTTCGAGATCCTCTCCTGTAGCCTACACTGCTTTTTTTACTATAAGAATGTAGAGACGCGCGTGCGTGCTCGTGCATGCTCGCGCGCCTATCATCGAGTGGTCTTTCCTCCATACATCTAGAAATGGAGGTAGCCACAGACCTGTCAGCCTCGTCATTTCCCCATTAGCCCTGTATGCAGTGTGAATGCCAGCGCAGTTAAATAAAAAGCGCAGATCTCATTCCCTCTGCCCAGCTGCCGACGATCACTTATCGATTCCAATGATCGGTTTCTCGGCCAGGGGGGGGTACTGTTTCATGGCATTAGGGTTGGGGGAGGAGGAGGAAGGGAGGGGTGGTCATTATCAGTCGCTATATGCTCTGCTTTTATTGAAATGCAAAGTGTGCATCCGTCGTGATTGCATTCTTTCGCTGGCAAGGCGATTTAACCAGGATGTAAAAGCCGAGCATAGAGAGACCCTCTTCTTTCTTCAGCTCTTATTGTCGGCGGATGTGGAAGCCTGCAAAACCCTCTCCCCGCCCCAGTGTCTGGTGGAGGAGAGCTGTTTTTACTGCTCCCTCTTCCTCCCTCTCACACCAACACACACAAGGCTATATGGCTTTTTCCCTTTGCTTATTTTTCGGAGGCAGGGAATATTTTGTAACATGATACACGGCCTGATTGGAAGCCTTGTCCTAATTGGTCATATAGCAACCAGATACTGTAAAGCCAGCCAGTCCACTCTTGGGTAGGCGGCTACAAGAAGGATTCAGTGTGGCCATGATGATGATGATTATGTGGGTAATCATAGTATGAAAACCCCCACATGCTTACTCAATCGATTTCATTGTGGTGACACCTTTACATGAGCTCACCTAATACACCAATGAAGCTAGCTCGTTTATAGAAACATGTTGTCATTGTTTTCAAACTGCCATGTTCCCTTGAGAATTTCCCTCATTTCTATGGCAGCAAGAGTGGCAACTATTCAACGAAAAAGGTCCCGATGATGCTCATAAAGCTGTAATGTTATGGCTATGTCTACAGTGTACATTTTGAGACACCAGTGTGTAGTGTTTTCTTGTTTCGAGTCATCTGTCTTTAACGCACACACACACTCCTAAACACACACACTTTAGGCCAGTAACCTCACAGCTCACTGTTCAGTCAAAACTGCAGGCTGCACAGTTATATTTTGCCTGTACTGAATCAGGACTCCGGCAATGAATGCTTTTATTTTTGCAGCAATCTTGTGACACGGAATAAAGTGAACTATTACTGTACAATCGTGTCTGCAGTAATTACATTACCCTGTAATGACGATGAGTAATTATCTCAAGAGGAGTTTTTCTTACAGAGCACACTGTTCTTTAACAAGAGTATTACAGGTGTTTTAAGGTCCTGAGCCAAGTCAAATGAATTTAAGAAAGATATTTGTTATGGTTTGTATCACAAAGTAGCAGTAAAGACTGTCTTTAGTTTGCACGTGTTCTCAATCCTAGTTTTATCAACAAAAAAGGGATCCATTAGGTGCCAAATGTTTCCATCCACAAATATATTGTTTCTTATAAAAATACAATATATAAAGATAATATATCTTTGGTCTTTGTAAAAGTATTGGAAGGTTATTGCTAATACTCATGCCGCATCTGGGTTAAAGCTTCTTATAAAGTATTTGGCCATTTTTAGGATTATCCCTTTGTTTGTGTACACAGTACTGTGTTATCATGACCTGCTTTACTACTGTAGATGCAGCTGTGAGTGTAGGAGATAAGCTTGAAACATTTATGAATTGGATTTCGTTTGAACTCTTACAATAAAATATATTTTAAGGAAATGTCAATTCAGTCCCACATCAGTGATTATCCATCAGTAGAGTACAGAAGAGAGGAAGTAGTTTTTCAGTGGGACATACGGTGAGGTTGCCAAGTACCCTAGCCAGCTCACCAGCATGAGGAGCTAATTTAGAGCTGTACCAGGCCTCCAATTACCAGCATGCAGTCCCCATCTATGCTTGTGGATGTCCATGTAATAGTACAGTGATAAGACCAATGGCAAGACTTGTTTTCACTGTTGCTGAGGCCTGTGTGCTAAATACTGTATTTTTTATTCAGAAAATGGATGATTTTGGTTGGACAAAGACATTCTTTATTGCATTGCCCAGTCTCACTGACGTACAGAAGCCTGCAAGAGGCACTAAATCAGACCAAACCACTTAAAAGTATAAAGGCCAGTGCAAGCCCCTGAGTATTGTAGACTAGACAGTGAAGAATATGGTGAGGAGTATAGAGGCACATGAGGCGCTATAATAATGCTGATTGCCTGAATCCATGTTGGCCCACGTTTGCAGCATGAGACAGAACCTGTTAAAAAAGATAGTTTGCAATCACATACTTAGAATAAGAATAATATGTTTTTATTTAGTGTGAAATATGTATGATGAAATAGATCTTTGCTGGTGTTAATTCAACCATTCCTTTCCAAATGTATAAAGATATACATGTGGGTTGTAAATGGCTCAACTATTAACAGAGCTTTACAACTTATTCAAATGCCTGCTAACATTAGCCCTCTATCAAACATGAATGTTACCAATCAGAGACTGTCCCTATACTCTCTCTCTACTTTCTGCTCAGAGAGCTTACGCGTTGGGCATCCCACCAGTAGTTTTACACTTACTGTAGCAATGTTTGTTTTTTGTTTTTAAAAAAAGATATAGTGAGCCAGGCTAGCTGTTTCAATTGTTTACAGTCTTTGTGAGATGCTTAATGTCATGCAGCATTTTAGTTAAACAGTTATAGTTGTATTATTGTCTCCTCAAGACATTTGTTAAGTTACATGACTCAGTGTGTATGCTATTCAAATACATCATTCATTATAGTCACGATAACCAGGTCAAAGTGGCAGGGATCAAGAAATCACAATATATTAGAGTTGTTATCACATTGTTATGTACTAAGTCAACATATTCCTTATTTTGTCATTGTATACCATCAATTGGCTTACTGTCACATTTCCATAGACTTCAATCCCTCTCTAGCAATGTCCATTCTCATTTTTTAAGTGCACAGTGAGGTTTATTAAGAAGGATCTAATGCAATGCCTTCTCTCTCTTTCTAGCTCTCACTCCTGGTGCTGTGAGGAGCTCTGCCTCGTGGACACTATTTAGGAGCATCGTCCTATTTTATCCCTTCCTTCCCCATAACCCCTTCCCTTCCTCACCCTCCGCCAATCCCAACCGCCCACAGAACGGCTTCCCTGTAGATACTCCTTCCTCTTGCATAACACAGGAACAAATAAGTATTCGGATCATATACGGTGCACGTTGGGACTTTGTGAAGGCGCACAAGTAAGCATACATAGAGTTGGAACAAAACACAACAAAAGCAATAGACAGAGGAAGATATGCTTATCAAAGGAATTACATTTTTGGAAAACTGACGATGTAAAGATTCATATTTTGTACATTAAACTTTTAAATAATAAAAAAAAACAAGGCACGACTACAAACATTTTGCACGCACAATCCCCATTTAGTTTTATTCAATAACCTGACACACAAACCACGGTCTCATGATGATGTGCGAGGTAATGCCCACCATTTCTGAGGATGGGCGAAGTGGAACTGGCGGGGGTACTACCTCACCTCCCGGGACAGGAGTCGGGGGCCCCGGAGGTGCAGGTGGAGCAGGAGGCTTCAGTGGGAAAGAGGCCAGGGGCGGAGGAGACGAAGGAGGAAGCACGGGGAACCTGGAGTCCTTAATGGTCAACATGCTGACAGAGAGGGAGAGGCTGCTGGATAACCTGAGGGAGACGCAGGACTGCCTGGGAACGGCTCAGCTCCGCCTGCGAGACCTCGGCCACGAAAAGGAGTCCCTTCAGAGGCAGCTGACCATCGCCCTGCCACAGGTACAGCTGTTTGTATGTGTGTGGAGGAATCAGCCTAGTGTGTGTGTTGAGTTGAACACTCCTCCTTGGTAGGTAACATCGTCTTCCTCAGTGATATCAGTGTCTAGTTATGTACAAGTTTCTTAGTGTGTGTCATTGTGAAGCGAGCTCATGAGACAGTAAGCCTTCGCCGTGACAGTTCATGCAGAGAGACAGTTTATGTTAAATACTTCCTCCTCTGCGTCTTCAGAGTTTTCCTTCCTAATGTTGTTTTGACTAATGCAGAGGGTTTATGTTCCTTTCATCTTCTGGCTATTTAGTCGAAGTTGCATCCGCAATTTTCCCCTTGATGTGTAATCAGGTTTTATTGTGTTTGTTGACCATGTTGTTAGTGGATGAGTAATGATGCTGGAAGCTAATATGTTAATGGTTTCAGCTAAACTAAATGAACACTTCATTTTCTAGGAATTCTCTGTAGTTTATGGGATGAAATTGCTTAGTAGTAATGTTTTATATTTTATTATCACATGAGCAGCTTTCTCTTCTTTTGTTGGGAACATTCTTAAACTCTGATTGTGTTTATAAGTCCTATTAAGACATATTGGCATGGTTAGCATTCCAAGTCAGAAAGGTATTTATTTGTTAAAATTTTAAAATCTATTTTGGTGTCTAGGAATGAAAGGAGAAAGAAAAGGGAATTAAACATTTCAATCTAGCACTCAGCTCAATATGCAACATAGTGAGTCACCACAGCTGCTCCCATTGTCATAACATGTCTGCATGCTTTGCTAGTTACAAAAACGACCTTGAAAAGCGATGGAATCAAGTGCAATCCAATTTAGTTTAAGGATTGAAATTATGAATTTCTTTCAGACGACGATACTCACTACCAGTAAATACCTGCTTCTCATTGGCAAAATTGTTACAATAACCAATAACTTTATAAATCTTTATAGGTGTTTGCGATATTGTGTACAAACCTGTACATCTCTATCAATATGCAGCCCATCACTTCAAATGTGTATTTCCAATGTATGCAACTAATGTCCTTGTACATTATAAAGTACGAGCGATAGATTTATTAACAAAGCACTTATATACTAATAAAGGACTGGCTTATCTAAAGCCAGTTGAGTAGCACTTGAAATGTTTGGCTCTATGAAACCTGATGTACTTATATGATTCTGTTTTCTTCAAGGTTGTGTCTTCCTGGTCGAATGTACTTATTGTAAGTCGCTTTGGATAAAAGCGTCAGCTAAATGCAATGTAATGTTATAAAGCAGGCTGCAAACTAATTTAAATTAATTGAGGCCTATGGAGACAAATAGAAAATGAACAACAAGAGGATAAGGGAAAAACAATCCCATAAGGCCAAGAGCCAATGGACCCACTGTGTCACCATCTGTATAGATCTCTTTCCATCTTACATCCTGCATGCAAACACAGACCAATTTCATGTGTCGACTTCAACCTTTTCTGAATCATAAAGCAGCTAATCCTGACTGTAAAACTGCATATGCACATCATTGTCATTCACATAAACAGCTATTGCCTCTTAGCTGAGGGCTTCAGAGGTGTTTTATGGAGACATAAAAAAATCACTGACCATGGATTGTACCAGTGTTGCTTAAGAAAATCATGTGAGACACGCCCTCCTGCACTCAGTCAAAGGCATTATGCAGGAGTTGCAAATCTTTCCCAGCAGTGTTGTGGGGGACATATTGATGCTTTTGAGGGGGGTCTCTCTTCTATTCCAGTGCAGAGCCATTGCGTAACAGTGTGATGTAATCCATCCATGAATGCGAGTTCACTGAGGAGGATGAGCAAGCGATGAAGAGAGAGAGAGTGCTGGAAAGTGTGTCAGTGATAACATGATGGTTATGTGGGTTTACATCATGTGCGTCTCCCCATGTTCATGGTCTCAGGTGTTCCACACAGCATTTTTCTGGAGCGCTTTGGTGATATTTGTAGTGCTATGTGTCCATATGTGCTGACAGCAGCCAATTCCATTTCATTCCCTGAGTCACTTCATTTGTCTGGCCTGAATTATTATCTTTTCCTTTAAACTTTCAGCTCAAGCGGAGACCACTCACATTCAACTATCAAACCGAACAGTTTGTTTCTTTGCCCCTGATCGCAGCTTGTGTTTTCCACAGGAGTTTGCTGTGTTGACTAAAGATCTGAACGTTTGCCGGGAGCAGCTTCTGGAGAGGGAGGAGGAGATTGCCGAGCTCAAGGCGGAGAGAAACAACACGCGTGTAAGATGTTTGGCGGCCATTTTGCTTATTAGCACTGTGTTATGCTCTGTGTTATGTTCTTCACCCATTGTGTGGGTGTCACACTGTTTAATTTGATTCTGGGTTTTTTCCCTGCTTCTCTTCCTCTTTCTCCTCCACATGTTGTCTTCATGACTCCTTTTGTGTCCTTTTCTGCTTTTACTTTCACTCACTATGCTACCTGCACTCATCTTTCCACCATATGTCTTTACAAACGCTTCACTTCTCTGCATCTTCTCAAAAATCTCTGTCTGTCTCTTATTCTGTGTCTTATTTTCTTTCTTCCTCACGTGTCCCCATCGTTTAAACTCTCTTTCTTACCTCCCTCTGTTCACCTCTTTGCATTATCCTGCCACCTCTCCGTCTCCTTCCACTTTGACCCACTCTTTCCTGTAGTTGTTGCTGGAGCACCTGGAGTGTCTGGTGTCTCGCCATGAGCGCAGTCTGAGGATGACGGTGGTGAAAAGACAAGCCCAGTCCCCGGCAGGGGTTTCCAGTGAGGTGGAAGTCCTCAAGGCCCTCAAGTCTCTGTTTGAGCACCACAAGGCTCTGGATGAGAAGGTGGGATAAAGTACTTTCCTGCAGGGCCTTAAACTGCTTAAAGGCATATTTTAAAGAAAATGTGGTCAAAGAATGTAATGATGTGACTGTTTTAGCCAATTATGAACTGTTTAATTGGCTTTATCGCTTGATAACTTGCTCTTTCAAGCTTATCAGGAAGGTCAAGAAGATGTAGTTAATTTGGGAGACGAATAAGAGCAAATCAAAATATTGCTTGACTCATAATTTGTATACGCCGCTGTATCAGTTATTGTTTTACCCCACAGGTCCGAGAGAGGCTCCGTGTGGCCCTCGAAAGGGTGTCCTTGCTAGAGGACCAGCTTGCAACATCTGCTCAAGAGGTAAACTCCAGTATGAATGATTTTTCCGTGTCTCAAGGATGTTCTAGCTTGGTGTTAAGAAAGAACATTCATTTATATTGTCTGTCTGCCCATTGTGTCTCCCCTTTTCCAGGTAATCTCTTTAAGAGACCAAATTAAAAGACGTCAACAAGGGGCGGACGGCGGGAAAGATGTAAGGGAGGGCTTTATGCATGTTGGTTCCAGTTGTTCATGTGTATGTGTTAGAATCTAGAAAGTCAGTAGAAAGTAGATATACTCTATGGGTACCACGTGTGTCAGTATGTCATCTACATGTCATTTATTTCACCTACAACCTTGAGTGTTTCTAACTAGTTGTTCTCCTTCATCACTCCACTTTTCTTTTTTTTTCTATATTTGTCATCATTCCAGCGACTACCCAATGGGCCCTCCACTGGCCTGGAGGAGAGCGAGCTGGAGAGGCAGCGAGAAGGAGAGATAGAGCGGCAGAGATCTGAACTCTCCCAGCTGAGGGAGAGGCTGGCCCTCATGTGTCGCCAGGTGAGTGTGTGTTCCTGTTTGACTGCCATCATGAGGACCAATATTTTATTTTTACAAAGTGGGGACATCACTTTTTGGAATTATTTTTCCAAAGTGAGGGACCAGGGTTAGATTTGAATTCTTAGCCGAAATTTCAATATAAATGTATATCTATCTGTGTACAGGCAATTTTTATCCCTTTTTCCTCCATATAAAAGTTTTGACAGGAAGCAAATAAAAACATTTACCAAAATGTCATACAATCCTTTAAGGTGAGTGAATTGTTAGCACGGAGGACTAGAAATAAACATTTATCTGCGCGTTTGAACTATAATACTGCATTTTTTAAATGTTTTGTTACATTCAATGACGACTGGATATTATCATAATGTTGTTTAATGTCCTCAATTGAATAGAGGTAACTCAAACACTGTAGAGGTGATCTATCTTCAGCACATCTACAAGTCTCCCTTTCCACTCTTGTTGAACTATAGCTGCTTTTTCTTAAAAGTCAAAATATAAACTATATGATGCAAAATAAAAGGGCATTTATATTTTATCATAGACATATTGTATGTAGCACTGTGTAACGTGTCAACAATATATAGGTAAAGATACCTAACCTAGAATCTGTTTGACAGTCTGGTCAGAAGAGATAAGGATGTAAAAGAAAACTGAAAGAAGCACATTCTGTCTCTAGTTCTGCGTGTTAGATGCGTCAGACTCTCAGCATGTTACACTTATGTCAGTGATGCTTTTTAAAACTATTTTTCAACTCTACAATGGCCAGACAGACATTTGTAATGAATCACGTGCAGTGTCTATTGCAATTGGTGCCGTGGCAGTTAACTCTGACTCACGTAGGTTCAAACTGTGTCAGCTTGTGTCCATTTGTGATCTCACGTCAGGTTGGGGAAATAGAGGAACAGCTTGCGGCCGCCAGGAGGGAGGTGACGAAGTCGGAGGAGGCCAATCAGAAGCTCCAAAGGGAAGTGAAAGAGGTCTGTATCTTTCCGGCCAAGACCCTGAGATCCCTCGATTCCTGGGGCTCCAATTTTATATTTGCACAATGGGCATAAGTATTAATATGCCATATTTTGGAGGGTAGTTGGAGTAAATTAAGATAAATTAAACTGTTAAGACATGGATATGTGAATATTGTTGTTACTGCAGATATACAAAAGAAGATATAATAAATACTTGAGAAAAATAAAGGCAATCCACACATACATGTTCTTCTTCTGTTGAATAACTCTTACCTTTTGTATATTATAAAACGCCCTGTGCATCGTCTTGTTTCATGATACATTTTGTATTCCTCTAGGCTCTTTGCCAAAGGGAGGACATGGAGGAAAGGATTACTACACTAGAACGCAGGTAACCTTTGCTGTGTTTGAGGAATCTATTCTTAGCTTTAGTGAGGACTTATTTTGGATCCAGAATGCATACATAAGCTGTAATTAACATAGCAGAAGGACCATATGTTCCACCTTTTGGATGGAAATGTGTCGCAAAGGTGTTCTTACACCTCTTTATACAGTCTAAGGCTGTTTAACATAACTGCATTTGCATTATATCCTTATTAAGCTGTGAGTGAAAACCAAAGAAAGCAGATATTTTTGCACAGTTTGTTTAAAAGCATCAATATAACTGGATATCATACTCTTTGGATTAAATGTACAGTATAGAAAACTAAGTTAGTGTTAAAGAATATCATATTTTAAAAGTTAAATTGATGAATCTTTTCATTTAATTGCCTGAAGGTAAATGTCTTCAAAAAAATAAGAAATTCAAACTTACCTCTTTCCAATGTCAACAATGAACTTTTGAAATCAATACCTAATAAATAATCGCCACCTTTACCAAAAAAAGAGCCGGTTTTTAACTGCATAATGTTGAATTAATGGTAGTGTCTTTTTAGGAGAATTATCTGTAAATAAAAATGTATTATATGCAGGTTTATTTCCTTTATATATACAGTGTATGGTTTATTCACAAGCTTCCATCAACCTCCACCCATAAGGGTAGATTAGCATATTGTGTTTGTTGCTTGAGGGCAAACAATGACTGTTTTTCTCTCAATACTGTTTGTAAAGCTTAGATGCTGTGAGCACAGAGTATTACAGTATATGAAGGCATCTCAGATTCAGCATTTTAATATTTTTGATCACTTCATATTTTCTCCCATCTGGATTCTGGCAGTTTGACAGTAAGAGGACACGGTTTTTGGGTATTTTAGTGAATCAATTCCCAGTGGAAATTACAGCCTTGCATATAATCACATCTATCATGTTATGTTGGCTGAGAAATGTAGCTGTAATGATTCAATGGTGGCTTGGTGTTGAATGCAGGTACCTCAGCGCCCAGAGGGAGGCGACTTCTCTCCATGATATCAAAGACAAGCTGGAAAACGAGCTGGCCAGCAAGGAATCACTGCACAGACAGGTAGGAATGGCTCAAATCAATGAAATATTCAGCATATGTTTGACTCATACATTCAGTACTGAACATGTGTGTTTTGTTCTGTGTGTCCAGAGTGAAGAGAAGAACAGACAGCTGCAGGAACGTCTGGATGAAGCCAAGCAGAAGCTCCAGCAGACCCTGCAGAGGGCTGAGACGCTGCCTGAGATCGAGGCCCAGCTTGCCCAAAGGGTTGCTGCTCTCAACAAGGTACGTTGAGTGAAGGGAAAAAAACACACTGTCCGTTTCTATCCAAAACACATACCACTATAGTTCTAATGGATGCTTATGTTTTATATATTTGTCATAGCCTGTATCAGTTAAACAGATAATAATGTGCCTTTTGGAACAAAAGCCTACAAGTCTTTATTTGGATTTACATAATTTTTGGGATACTTTTTATTTATTGACTAATATATTTAAAGTGATATTAAAGCTGATAACAGCTTCAGTTAATGCAATTCATGCTTCACCATGGACAAAGAATTAGAGGGAGGATTTTATACATTAATACAAACCTATATACCCACCGGTACCCATTTTCATACACTGTATATGTATATACACTCCTACTCACGTACATATACAAACACACGCACATAAGCAGAACTGAAAACACCAAGCAGTGAAGAAATGAAAAACACTTGTTTTGCCCCCAAATAAAAAGAAATTGGTTTTGTTGGTAAGAGCGTATGGAAATGTTATTTCTTCTAATGTAGGCAGAGGAACGGCATGGAAACTTTGAGGAGCGACTACGACAAATGGAGGCTCAACTCGAGGAGAAGAACCAAGAGCTACAGAGGGTAACATATTATTTTGCTCTCTACTTGGCTATACTGTATACCATTTTTAAACAAGATTAAAGTGTGTTTGTCTACTTTTATACATGTTGAACACCTCTCTTGGGATCGTGTCATTTCAGGCGAGGCAGAGGGAGAAGATGAATGATGAACACAACAAACGCCTCTCAGATACAGTGGACAAGCTTCTGTCCGAGTCCAATGAGAGGCTGCAGCTCCACCTCAAAGAGAGGATGGCAGCGCTAGAGGAGAAGGTAACGAGGAGACTAATTAGTGGTGCAAAAATATTTTGTGATAAAATGGAAGATAAGGAAAAAGTTGGTAAAACATGTATGTTCTTTCCTCCGCTCTGCTAGAATGCTCTATCAGAGGAACTGTCTAACATGAAGAAAATCCAAGATGATCTCATAGCTAATAAGGTATTCACTTTTTCAGCTATGTAACTAATATATTTTCATTTTCTGTTTGGGAAAGGACGAGGTAATTTGTCCGTCTTGTGCATAATCACACTTTCTACATGTTTGCTAAGGATGTTGACTTTTTTTCTTACATTTAAAAAAAGTCCCAGTTTACCTTTTCCTCAGAATCAAAGCAAATGACAATGTTGTTTCCTCTGTGCTTTAGGAACAACTCCTTGCTGAGCTGGAGCGAATCCAACTGGAGCTAGATCAGCTGAGAGGCAGGCCTGGCTCTTATTCCAGGTTAGCCACAATGAACCTTTAAGGGAATTTATTATCTCAAGGGATCATTTACGCTGCCCCCTTCTGTTTGTTTTCTCCTGTGTTTACTTTTAATGTGCTTCCACTAAATTCTATTTTATAAGGTAATTATTCAGACCATACCTAGAGGGTGTTGTCCTGGATAACAAGTGTGCAAATAATGTATGCTTTATACATATTGATACTGTTTTGCATTGTTTTTAATTCTAGGGTGATTTGGTGTGTTGTCTTTCATAATGTTAGTCCCAAGAAATGGGCGCATTGTTATCTTTAAGTACTCACATCACTAATGAATTCTGGATCTCACCATAGGGCGGGCAGCGTGAGCTCTCTTCCCTCCACCCTCTTTCGAAGATCTCTTCCAGGGAGCGCCTCAGAGCTGCGGTACCCTCAGGGCGGAGGCTCGCTCCCGTCCGGCTACACCAACTCCACTACTGGGATGGTGGTCAGGCGGACGCACCGAGGTCGCTGGGGGGCTCGAGACGACAGCAACAAGGTGCTCATCTCACACTGAGATAATAATGATTATAGTATCAGTTTGTATTAGGATGATCATTTTATGGATTTCTCGCTCTTCCCAGTATGGAGAGTGGGACAGCGGCTCCATGCTTGGTCCCGGGTATGATGGTGGAGACGGAGGCTGCTCTGACGATGAGGACGACCGGGAGACTCTGTTCGGGTCGGAGCTGCTGTCTCCCAGCGGACAGACAGATGTACAGACTCTGGCCATCATGCTGCAGGAGCAACTGGAGGCCATCAACAAGGAGATTAAGTGAGTTTTACATCCACTACAGTTTAATTTGAAATGCTAAGGCCATTTGTGCCACCAATAGGTTGCCTTCAAACAAAATGATGTGAGCTTCCTTTAAAGATAAAAGCCTGAAATGTAAACGTATTTTCTCCTCCCATCTACTCTCAGGCTCATTCAGGAGGAAAAGGAGAGCACAGAGCTGAGGGCCGAAGAGATAGAGAGCCGGGTCAGCAGCGTGGCCCTCGATGCCCCATCTCTTCCCCCCTCCTCACTGGGAGGACGGGACAGCGTCGGGAGGGGATACATGACTCCCTCCATCACCTCCTCCACGTTGGCGTCTCCCTCACCTCCCAGTTCTGGACATTCGACGCCCCGCCTGCCACATTCCCCTGCCAGAGAGAATGACAGACAGGTACGGTGTGGGTGTTGTGATATAAGCTACAAATGTGTTTTAAATGAGGACATTTTAACCTGTATAGATTCACCCAACTCTCTTCACCCTGCAGAATAGCAAAGATGGTGAAGAATGCAGAGCTCTTGCCCTGATTGACTCCAACACTCCCGCGGTTCCTCGAGCCCTGCGATTGGACAGAATGACACACACTCACCCGGGAGCAGGACTCGACGACCTCCGTGAATTTCGCAGGTACTCTCACGAAGGTTTTTTTATAGATTGTTTATTTGGCCAACAAACTATCCCCAAGATCTGCTCCATGTGTTGGTTTGACTTCCTGTTTTTCCTATCTCTGTCCTCAGTCTCTCTGCTGACGGTTCTACCACCGCCAGCCAGGATTCCCTCCACAAGGTCAACAAAAAGAAAAGCATTAAGTCCTCAATTGGTCGTCTCTTTGGCAAAAAGGAAAAAGGGAGGATCGGTACACCTGGTCGGGAATCTTCCTCACTGGGTCCGTGAACCGATAGAAACTACTCAATCACTATACTTTTTTTTATGTCCAACTAACAAATATATTATGTCAACATTGATCATTGATTCATAGAATAAATGTTATTTATTGACCGTTTAACTTTCCAGCCTCCACACCCTCTGATGACCTGGGTTCTGACCCGTTAGGCCTGGCTAAACTTGGGACTGGAACAGTGGAGAAAGACCGCCGCAGCAAAAAGAAGTGAGATCAGTCATCTTTACACACACTTAAAACATATCATCATATCAATTCTGTTTTTGATATAAAATATCTGGAACTGTAGAAGGAAGGGGGAAATTATCATTTGTTTTCTGTCAGCAAGGTCTGTGTTGTTCGTTGTCCGTTGACTCTTGGTCCTCTGTCCGCCAGCTTCCATTTGATGACATTTGTATAACATACTATCCTACAACATTTTCTTGACCATTTGTTTGACATAAAATGCCTCTTATGATAGTATACAATATATAATCACTTTGTATACAATAGTCAATGTTATGGCATATAATATGACATTTCAATGTATTTTTTGGAAATATTATACTTTTGATCTTTCTGATTTATTTTCACATACTAAACACTGACGTTTTATGACTTATTAGTTACATACTATACAATGGTTTCACTATGACATTTTTCTGACGTAAAGAAGACAGTGGTGAAGTCAGATACGTAGAAATGTATCTTTGACAAAGGTTTTCCTCTCTCCTCGCCAGACATGACCTGTTAGAAGAAGCCTGTCGCCAAGGTCTGCCTTTTGCCTCATGGGACGGCCCGACCGTTGTAACGTGGCTTGAGGTAAGTCCTGACACATCCACCAAAGAGTCACATAGATATCCAGCTTCTCCAGGGATAAATCCAATGGAACCGATCAAGTTTTACAATAGCGTCAAGTTACGGTTACACAATCTGTATGCTTAAAAACAAAAGTGACACTTTTTGATACATTGCTTGATACCATCTCTGTTCATCCAGCTGTGGGTAGGCATGCCAGCATGGTATGTGGCAGCGTGTCGTGCAAACGTGAAAAGCGGCGCCATCATGGCCAACCTCTCGGACACAGAGATCCAGCGGGAGATCGGCATAAGCAACCCTCTCCACCGGCTCAAACTCCGCCTGGCCATTCAGGAAATGGTCTCCCTCACCAGTCCGTCTGCACCTGCCAGCACTCGCTCTGTAAGGCTCAGTAAAACAGCATTTTATCACTCTTGAAAATCAGCGAGTAAATTATGTCTAAATGACTTGCTTACTGTCATTACAGTCGACCAGTAATATTTGGATGACGCATGCTGAGATGGAGTCTCTCGCTGCTGCCGTCAAGCCAGTAAGAATATTACATTTCTGCCAAATCACTAAAAGAAATCCATTATTTAGAATATTGCTTTACTTAATGTTTATGGATGTAGCACGTAATACCTCAAACAGTTCTGATACCAACACTTTTACAGTCAAATATTGTTAAATATATATAATCGTTTAAGTTATGACCTCAATAAAAGGTCTCACATTCATAAACTTTTGTTCTTTTTCTTTGTCTCTGATTAGGCTTGTTTGGCTACTCCTTTCCCTTACTATTCCCTCAAATCTGTATTTGATGTAGTGTTTTTTCCAACTAATTCTCTCTCACTAACAAAACTTTCCTCCCTCTGCCTTCCCTACTTCTTCTCCATTCTCTCCTGATTCTCTCCTGATTCTCACACACACACACACACACACACACACACACACACACACACACACACACACACACACACACACTTCCCCCTGGTGATATTTCCCTCTCTTTGGAACTCTCTGTTCCATTTCTCTTCAATTTCTTCTTTTCCTGGAACACAAGGAGCAAAAGGAGTTCAGCTGGGATCAGGTGAGTCATCTGGTCACTGATTCTGAATATCACAATGGAAACAGAAAACCAAACATTGCTTTTAAGGCAACTTAGGGGCCAATGCTGTTGAAAAGTGTGCTCTTTTTGGCTCGTGCTTTAGCAAAATCCCTCAAGTTCACATCAAATAAGTGGTCAATGTTAGGCAGTAAAAATATTCTTTATAGATCATTTCTTGTCCAGATACCTTCAAACTTATGTTTGCAGTAAGTGGTTAAACAGTCCATTTAAGGCCAGGTGTTATAATCCTTAAAAACCTAGCTTAAACCATATAGGAATGTGTCAGGCTGAAGGAAGACAATCCATAACCAAGCAAAGTCTTTCTTATTGATGGGGTAAAATAATCTGTTGAGCATTTGGAAATCATTTGTTAACAAGCAGAGCCATTCGTAAGAGCTTATAAACTCTTTTTGTCGGGGTACCGAGTTATTAAGTGGTGCAAATCTATCAAAACTAATTCCAGTCTTGCTCAGTTTACAGCATAGATATCATAGACCATGAAAATACCTGAGATACCACCAGAGTTATTTATCTTTGCCATTTTAGCTTACAATTCCCATGTTTCCTGTTACGTGTGATGCATCAACTGGCACAACTGCGGGATGTGTTTGTGTGTTTTGTTCATGATTGTGCGTATACAGTATACAGCACTGCAGTGTTTATAAAATACACAGGAAGGAGAGACAGATGTAGTCGGGGGGACTTTGTGTTGTCTTGACCCTTCTCACACCCACCTCCCATTCGTCCTCCAGATCCTGGCCTATGGAGACATGAACCATGAGTGGGTTGGAAACGAATGGCTGCCCAGCCTGGGTCTGCCCCAGTACCGGTCCTACTTCATGGAGTCTCTGGTGGATGCCCGTATGCTTGATCACCTCACCAAGAAGGAACTGAGGGGCCAGCTGAAGATGGTGGACAGTTTCCACAGGTCTGAACGTCAGACGTTTATACAGATTGTCTCTCTTTGGCGTATATATCCATGGATGAAAAACTGATCAGGCTTATGGGGCACAGGCCAAAGATACTTTTAACAACAAGGTTTCACTTTGAACCAGGAAGAGACTCTAAATGACCACTTAGAAACATAAAACAATAAGAAAGTCCCTCAAAAGACTTCAATGGAACCCATATGACTACAAAGACCTGCAGAACAGCTGAAGAGAGACACACAATGACCACAAAGGAAAACTAAACAGCAACATAGAGACACAAAATGACACAAAGATTAAAGAAAATACAAATCTAAAGAGACACAAAAGGACTATAAAACAACACAAATAAACCACAAAGAAACACAAAAGAGAAACGGAACAACTACAGTGAGAATCAAATCAACAACGTAGAGAAACAAAACAACCACAATGAGACACAACATGTTTCACAAAGAAACCTAAAATGTTTACAAAGGGACGCAGAAAATTAAAATGAGACAAATAAGTAGGTGTGACTTGCTCCTATGTAGAAGTAGAGGATGAGGTCTTTTATATGTTTGAGCTCTGTCTCATAATCCACTGATGTATATACCCCAGCTTTGATGGAAATAAGATCAATGTGTCCTCCTCACTTACAGGGTGAGTCTTCACTATGGCATCATGTGCTTGAAGCGCTTAAACTATGACAGGAAGGAGCTGGAGAGGAGGAGGGACGAGAGCCAACACCACAACCAAGGTGAGGATTCTGTTCTTAATACCAAATGTTCCCTTCAGACATTATATCAAAGCGTACATTTGCGCATGCTTTTTGTTGATAACTGCCTCTCTGGGACCTTCTCCACAGATGTCATGGTGTGGTCCAATGAGCGAGTGATGTGTTGGGTGCAGGCTATCGGTCTGAAGGAGTTTGCTGACAACCTGTTAGAAAGCGGGGTGCACGGGGCCCTCCTGGCACTAGATGACACCTTCGACTACACTGACTTGGCCCTCCTGCTCCAGATACCCAATCAGAACACACAGGTAATCCCCAGCAAATCACTTTAGGTGCCTACACAGAGTCCTTATCTCACAACTGTTGTCATAAGTTCTCTTTGCCACACCTTATGTTTACCATCAAGATAATCCTGATCTCTAACTCTTAAATTATCTTAACTATGATCTTAAAACGCTGTTGGTCTATCGTTTGCAGGCGAGGCAGCTCCTGGAGAAGGAGTACAACGGTCTCATCACCATGGGAACAGAAAGGAGGCCAGATGAGGTACGACAAAGCAGGATGGCAGTAGAAAATCAATCACGATAATCACCACTGCCAGGAGTCGGGAGTGTGTGTTGATCGTAACAGCTCAGGCTAAGACTGTTTTACTTGACAAAAGGGCCTTTGATCCAAACGTGTCAATTGTTGCCCTTTGTTAAATGTGTATCACGACATTATTATTTCCTTTCAGTTGTAAAGAATAGTTGTATAGAAGACTCAAATATCTTACATCCTTATAAAGAAAGTATTTATGTCATGTAACAGCTTATAGGACTAAATGCTCTGTAACTGTGGTCTATTGTCACAACCAAACCCTTCTTAACAAGACCCTGATATAGATATCCCTAAGGGTGAATGCTGTCATTTTAAAATCACTGGTGTTATTTCATCTCTACAGGACGGCTCAAAAACATTTACACGGTCACCGTCATGGAGGAAAATGTTCCGGGAGAAGGACCTCCGCGGCGTGACGTCCGACTCTTCAGAGACATTACCTGCCAACTTCCGTGCCTCCGCCATCTCGACCCCCTCCGTCACCCTGAGAAAAGTCCAGAGTGAAGGTGAGGAGAAGCAGCTCACAGCGGCTGATTTAAAGCAGAACTGCTGGGATCTGGCATCACACAGTGGTTCATCGAGTTCAAACATGTGTGAGAAAACATCAGTGATCTTTCTCTTTAGTGGCCTCTATAGCGAAAATAAGTCATTGCAGGTGTGTTTTTGTTCTCAGAGATCCAAAAAAGTGTCATCTATGTGACGTCAGTCCCTTTTTCCTTTTGTTTTTATCGTCTGTACTTTTCAGTGATTTATTTGTTTGTTTGGCTACAGAAACCGTTTTTCGCAACACAAGCGGAGACCATAAAAGTGTTATTTTAGTGTTAATAAAGCTTGAAGTTATTCATTTATTGACTTCACAGTGTTAAACATAGTGCCTAAGATGGACAGTGAAAGATGGAGATTTAGCAGCTTGGTTAAATATCTCTAAATCCAAGGTCAAAATAGTTACAAAGACTGAGTTTAAGAGGATATGATGAGATGTCGCATCATGGAGAAAATAATAAGATTAATGACTGATTACCTTCTTTTCTCTGTCAGTAGGTCCGAGAGGAGAGTCGGGGTCCGTCAGAACATATTCCTGCTAAAAGATAAGCACACCAGGTAAGAACAAATCACGCTCAGTGTATCTGTAGCTAAAAATAGATTGTGTGAACACCAGATCAAACATCTCATCTCAGCAGGAGCTTTCACGATTCTTTTGTTTTTACTCCATTTTGTAGAGCCCCGCCTCTATCCTAACCCGAGGAAGAAAAAAAATCACATTTTTTGAAGAAAAAAAGGATCAAAATCAAAAATGGACTCTAAGAAGATGACCAACAAGATTTACACGAGATGTCTCGAAGAATGAAAGACACTGAGTGAATGAATTCTGAAGAGAGTGAATGTCTGTTTATCCATCTGTTTCTCTCTCTCCCTCCCTCTGTCTCTCTCTATCCCTCTCTTCCTCTCACCCCATCTTGATCCATAGTTGTGGCATGACGCTGTTTGATTCTGTAGAAAGTGGCCTGTAGAAAGTGACCATCGCCTATCGTGAATACATATCCTGTTTTTGAGTGTGAGATGGCAATATTGACACAATGATTTTTTTGTATTTTAAAAATTGGAAACTGCATTCCAGTTCGTATTGGGAGAAAGAAACCCCTTCAGGTGATCTCAATATGATTTAGACTAAAAATAGAACATACTCTGACTAGAAACATCACAACACAATAGAGTCTGGGGAGAGGGAGGTTCAAAGAGAGCGTGTGAGCGTACACAGGGGAAATTAAATGTATGCTCTTAAGCCATAACAGACATGAGATGCACAAATGTGAATATGACAGACAATGAGACGTTTAGCCAAGTGCTTTATGACAAAATCCTGTTCAAAGTGGGGAAAAAAAGAGGTAAGCATTTGTGTTAATATGCATGCCAAAATCAACCATTCTAGAGTGAACGTCATGATATCAATCATCTAATGATCTGGAAGCTTGGGTCAGGACTTTGTAAAATGTGTGTATTTTATTTGTATAATTTTTTATGATAAATGCTATTGTATGTATGTATAGTGTGTGTGTATGTGTGTGTGAGTGTGCGTGCGTGTGTGTGCGTGCGTGTGTGTGTATTAAACTGTACGTTCATTTCATACCTAGTTTTAAGACTGACTGTAACTTAATTTTAAGTTGAAAAGGGAAATATGTTTTAAATTATGGACATTTAAGATATGCTACTTGTATGTGTACATTTTGAAGAAAAAAAAACAAATTGTGTTATGATTTACAATCATATTATTGGAGAGTAGTGATGATAATTGAATATAATATGATAATAATGATTGTAAAAGCTGTAATTAAAAAACATACCTGTAAAATGCTGCTGGATGAGTTTTTGGAAGTTTCTCCCCACAATGAGAGAAGGTCTCAGATAGCTGGCTGGGATATATCTCTCTGTCATCTTTCAGAGTAACTATTGAAATGCAGATTCTTAATTGAACTTTCAACTTGGACACAACACTAAGAAATATATCAAGACTAATCAGAAATAGGTAAGAGTGGAGCAAGGATCTTTTTAGGAGGTATCTTTTTCTCTTTAACTAAAAGATTAGGGTGGAAAAGTTAACCATGCCACCAATAGGCTAACATGTAGGAAGGGATCAACAATGTCATATTGGTAGATTGTGGCAATGAAATGAAACATGCATGTGACAGGTCCATATGTGACATAACATTGTTATAGGGCATGTTTTTACATGTACCTTTAATGGAAGTAGTTGAAATAAGTCATAGCATATTAGGTCGAAAAACATGAAAAAAGTCATAGTAGGCCTATACTATGTCGAAAAACATGAAAAACATAAATAATATATATTATTTCGAAAACATAAAAAAGTCATATCTTAGTGAAAAATATCATGCAAGAAGACATAGTGAAAAAATAATGAAAAAGTCATAATACATGTTGTAAAAAAAAAGGTTATATAGACACCAGCCAGTGTTCGAGTTGTTTTGACTTGACCTGCCAGCCGTTTCTTGAAGACTGGGAAAGTGGACTTGGTGAAGATGGCTCTCTGTCCTTTTCTTCCGGAGGGGGCTGCCCTCAGTGCGGTGACGGGAAAACCTCTCAACCCTTCCTGAAACAATGAGCTCGTCCCCAGACCATAATTTGGATGTGTCTGCTTTATGCATGGTTATGAATCTTTACCTATGATCATTCATAAAAAAACATGCAAATATTCCAAATATACAGTATGTCGAATTTCTCTGGCACTTATGGCACTTTAAAAGTAATTGAAAGGCTATATTTGAAAAGGTGATACAAAAAAAGAGCCATTAAAATAACTATTTAACCCCTGTTCATACGTATGTGACGCATTATCAGTCCATTCAACTCTCAAATATCCCGTCTTAAAATCACATGTACATGTATTGATATTGTACACACGATGGTGGCAGTGCTGTAACTTCCTGTGAGAAGGTGCTCATATATGGAGGTTGAAGAGAAAACAGGTTAGCACCATCTTGTGGCCATCGTGCTTATGAATGCAATTCTGTTCATATTGCACTTTCAACATCCGGAAACATGTCTGAACAAGCTTCACATCAAACACAAATGTAGTGTATTTTTATTTAACTTTCACATAGGATCCTTGTATAAAAAAGCCACAAAACCTTCTCCGATTTAGGACTGTTTAGAAACTTTATATATTAAATGAAGATATATAAATACAGACAAAGACAGTGTAATATGTCAATGTTGCTCCCAAACTCTTTTAGCTTGATTAAGAAACAATATCACTTTGGATGAACCGACCCCGGAAGATGCATCCCATTACAATGATAATGCACTTTTTCGAGAGAAGGTAACATTTCCTGGTGATGCCCTGTGTTTCCTAATATGTGACTTTACAAGATGACGTACAGCTTCTCTTGTGACTGCACAGCTGCAGACACATAAACACTTGTCTCCTGCTTGTAAATAAGTTTCAGCCCCTGTTTCCCCACATTCTCTCCCTCAAACACACACACACACATCAAAATAAGATAAACAGAGTGAAATCCAGGCACTTCCACTCGTGCATGTTTATTATAATTTATTGAGCAGATGACGCAGAGACATGCTTTTGTGTTTCATCTTCTTGCAGTTGTAAAAATGTGTATATTTCTAAAAGTAAAAATCCCCCTGAGTTATGGTAAGTTGTTTTATCTACATGACAAAGTATATCTACTGATATGTGTCAATGTGAACCGATAATAGCTCATAATGTGGTTGGTAACTGTACTCAACACTTGGAATTTTGTTTTTTATTCAACCATTGAGGAGGTATCCTAATAAACAACGTTTTTTACTTTTAAAAATGCTTGGAAACACATTAGCCAACCATAAACACCTAGCTATGTGTCATAGCTAAGAGATATAAAAACAACAGGATACAATCATGCTTACACTTGAATGCAGTGATTTAGAAGAATAGGGAGGAAACATAATGATTGAATAACAAATTACAAATAAACGCATTTATAATAACTTGAAACAACATCTGAAATAAGGCATTTGAACTGTGGCGGAAGAGAATCCAAATGTAGGCCTTTAATGTTAAAACACATGCTGAAAAAAAGGGGTAAATACTGGAAACACTTTAAAACATCAAATCAATTCATAAATCTTTGGATTCAAGTGATAGTTGACCCGAAGGAATTTAATCCCACCTGACTTCCGAGTCCAAATACCTAACTTTAAAGGCCAGGCTTACTGTAAATGGCAGGAAGAAGCCCATACATAGTGTCTAAACACAGGTCTTCCTCTCAGCATTAAATCACGCTTTCATTATGTAGAAATGTCTGACTCACATTCAGGGGGTAGCACCTCCTTCTCCAAACTCCTTTAAAAGGGAGCTAACCTTGCTCCTTTTTAACAAAAAGAACTTGCTTGTACAGCGTCATATATTTATAAGCTATTTCATATTTGTATCAAGCTATTTATTTTTTATTTATTCCTTATTATCCTCCTAAACCTATTTTCCAAATGTTTTGCTTTCAACACAAGTATTTCTCTGGCCTGTCGTCTTTTCTCCTAATTGTTCGACTTCATTTTTGTTTGTCGTTTTATCTCGCTGACTCCAACCCAATTTTATCCTTCCATAATCAAGTCAGAGAGGTACATCTCTACACAGGTATTTATACGACCACGGATTTAATATTGCATATTGACGAAATGCTGCTGCTCTTTTATCCATTATGCTCATTTCTTCCTTTCCTTCCTTTTTCATGATGCAGATAATCACAGAAGAGGGATGTATCTGCAGATGACCCTGGATGGGAGAGTGTCAGGAAGTGATGCTCAGACTCCTCACAGTGAGTATTTGGGAGATAAATCAGAAAGAGAGCATGTTTTGGAGGATATTTTACTATCAAAGACATCCTCATGGGATAGTTTGAGGTCCAGTAAAGACGTATATTTATATGTTTGTGTTCCAGGTTTGCTAGAGCTGAAATCAGTGAAAACAGGGGAAATTGTCATCAAGGGACAGTCATCATCTCTGTTTCTCTGCATGGACAGTGATAGTCATTTGAGGGGGCAGGTAAGCAAAAAATACAATTTCCCCCAAGAAACTCCATGGTTTTGTAGTTCAATGATGGTTAATATCTGTTGTGTGTTTCAGGGGCTCTACTCAGAGGACGACTGCACCTTCAGAGAGCTGCTGCTGGCTGATGGATACACTCGTTTTATTTCCTCGCACCATGGATTTCCAGTGTCTCTCGCACCAAGACATTCCCCGGATCGTCACACAGTCTTCACCAGATTCCTACCCATTAGGAACACTTTGGCACGGGAGACTGTGCCCGAACAGACGCCAAACAATCAGAGGAGATTCAACGTGGACTCTGAGGATCTTCTTGGAATGGGTCTGAATGCTATGGTCAGTCCTCAGTTCACATTGGACCAGTAACATATATATATATATATATACATAGCTTTGTATTCTAAAAATGTATTATTTATTGACCAGGGACATGTTTTTATTTATTGAATGAGTAGCTTTTGCTCCTCAAAATGTTTTTTAAAGGTAGTATTGTGTAATTTATTTATTTATTGTGTGTGTGGTTCATTACTAATGTATTTAAAGACCTAATAATAAATTATCAGATTTAACAGTTTGCACTTTGAGTACATTTTTCTGTAAGAGTACGAAATAAGTAAGAAATGACAAGTTGTTGTACTACGTATACGTATCAGTTGAGAGAAATTCTGAATGAAAATACACATGATGTAACTTTCTTTTGTTTGTCTGAGTCAGTCATTGGTTGGCAGGGGAATTCAATTAACATTTAAACAAACCATGGGAGAAACTTTATACAAAATGAGGAAGAACTTATTTTGACTAATGATCATAGCACTCATGGTGGAGAGGAAGTGGGCTGAATATTTTGAAAGCACGAGCGCTCTCTGCTGGACAAATAAGCAATGGTACAAAGAGGGCCAAACACTCATAAACACCTGTCTTTGTTTGAATCTATAAAACCCTTTCTCAAATGACATATTATGCATTTAAATAATGACATTTCCCTACAATGTACATTACTGTTAACTTGTTACGGTCAGAGACATTTAGGTTATTACTTGGATCCAAACTTCGGTTAAGGAAATTAGCAGTTAATAGTAATAAACATAAGTACTATTATTATTGTGAGAAGTTTCTTTAATAAAAACAATTGTTTGTCTTACACTGTCTCTACGCTTTGTTCCACTGCTGCCATTAAGGAGAATAGTAGTTAATAGTCATAAACATAAGTACTATTATTATTGTGAGAAGTTTCTTTAACAATAACAATAGTTTGTCTTACACTGTCTCTATGCTTTGTTCCACTGCCGCCATTAACACAAACTATATCACGTCAACGAAGACGTTTACACTTCGCAATGTTACAGTAGTGCACATACCTTCCATGTGATGTTGTGGAAAGTCTCGTGTTCCAGTACAATGGAGCTACTGCTTATACTGGCTTAGTGGTGGTGGAAAAGGTCACACATACGTTAGTGAATCTGGCAGACCTCTGTGAATAAATGTTGTGCTTGGATGCATTGTGCTAACCATGAAGTATTAATTGTGATTCTCTAGTTTGTTGTATTTTATGTCCTAAAATAACACTGCTATAATCAATAAGGCTGATATTATTTTCAAAGGCACAAGTTACATTTCTCTAAATAAATACTTAGTACAACAGACAACCATAAATTACAATGCCACTTAAACAAAAATTAATAAAATATAATCTTTATTAAAAACACTGAGTGCATAGTTAAGCAGTTAAGTACAGAAGTTTTTGTATAGCATTCAGAACCTTCCTCTTTAACACAAATACGTAACACTGTGTCATTATGAGTAATGCAGCAGTGATAAAGGATACAGATCACCTAAACCAAAACTACAAAAAGGTTGAATTTGTTCATGTCTTACAGAAGAATGTTGAGAATGTGGGTTTGGTTTAGTTTTGATGAGACGTTCTATATCTATATTGCCACTAATCTAACTGCTTCCACTTCAAACTTTAAGCCAAAAAGTGACAGGGCTAAGACATCATAGTTTCAAGGCACATAACAGATATTCAGAAAGTCATTGTAAAACTCAAGCTGATAGCATTAATAAATAACAGCTTATATTTGTTGCGTATCAAGACCCTGAGAACATAAAACTCACTGTCTTTTTCTTGCTTTTTTAAAGCTACATTATACAAAATTAGCTTTTCAGCGGCATTTGGCTGCTCTAGTGCTGTAATAAATATGTGTAAATTAAAAGTAAAGTCAACAAAAAGCATATTATCAGTCTTATTTTTATGGTTTAACTTTCCAGTAACCTTTTTTCTAATTTCATTCATTGCGTTTCATTCTTCTTTTCATTCATTTGTCATTTTTCATACTGTCAAATAGTACAAAATAACACTCACCATCACTAAACTTGAGTAACCAGTGATTCCTTCAGATATGTGTTTCCTCCACTGAACTCTGTGCTCTGCCCTGCACACAGTCCAGCCAGCAGAGTCCCGTTCAAAGGGTTGCAGATGCCTTCAATGGCATAATAATCTCCCTCTGGATCTCCATCGCCGTCATCTGTTTCCTCCCCTTCTGGCCCCTCGTCCTCCCACAGGTTCGTCTTGTACTCGGTATTATCCACACATTCAGTCTCCCGATGGTAGAAGTAGCTAAAGTTGGAGACAATGACGGGGACTGGCAGTGAGATGGTGAGCACACCGGCAATGGCGCACATTGAGCCCACCAGCTTACCCCAAACTGTAATTGGGTACATGTCACCATAGCCCACTGTGGTCATGGTAACAACCGCCCACCAGAAGGCATGTGGTATACTAACAAAGTCTGTGTTGTGATGGTCAGCCTCTGCAAAGTAGATGGCGCTGGAGAAGAGGATGACGCCAATAAACAGGAAGAAGACGAGCAGGCCCAGCTCTCGTATGCTAGCCTTCAGTGTCTGACCGAGGATCTGAAGACCCTTCGAGTGACGAGACAACTTGAAGATCCTGAACACCCTCACTAACCTGATGACTCTGATGATGGCCAGAGACGTTCCTGGAGAGGCTTCATTGTCCTTGGCCAGCTCCGTACCCAGAGTGACAAAATAGGGCAGGATGGCACTGATATCGATGATGTTCATGACGTCCTTGCAGAAGGTTATCTTGCTGGGAGCGCAAGCAAATCTTATGATAAGCTCAAGGGAGAACCAGCATATGCATATGGTCTCCACCAGGAAGAAGGGGTCCTGGAAAACACTTTGTGGAAGAGGCATGTGCTCGGATACATTCTTTGGCTGGGAGTGGTACCTGTAAAAATATTCCTGGAGTAAAAGAAGACATATATCAACCATACTTGTAAACCGTAGCTGAAGGATCACTTTTACAAGACTACATATACACAACCTTTCTGTAACTTTCCAAATTGGTAAATTGAGTAATTTCATACAACTAAAAACATTAGAGAAATATTTTGGAACTTGGCTTTGGAATCTGTATCACTTTAACAGTTGCTAAAGAAGAACCATCATTGACAGAAAGTTTGTTAGCATAGCATTCTTAAATGAACCAATGCCAATTTCACTAAAAGTGGTTGCTAGTTTATATAGCTAGTCTAGGCCAGAGGAATGATGGGATTAAAATTACCTGGAAGCCAGAAGAAATGTGTTCCCGTATTTACCAGACAAGCATTCTCATTAGGCTAAATGGGTGCCATCTTAGGGGTATCCAGTTAGATCATTTATCCGTGTTCCATCCGTGTTATAAAAGTCTTGCAGATAAAATAAATGTATTTCCTGAAATGTTAAACAATTTGTTCATTTACAAACTGCTACTCAGAAAGGACTACTGTTTCATGGTAATCTTATAATTAACATAGACTATTCAGTATGTTGTCCAAGATCTGATTGGTTCTCACTTTTGACACCATCATAAAAGTGTCTGACATCTGCGGCTTTACATTTCAACCATAGCTTCGTTTATCTCTGTCACTCCACCTGTCTTTCCGTCATCCGTGTCTGTTATTAGAATCACATTCAAACATTGGAGAGTGTCAGTTTAAAAAATCTTACACTTGACATCAAGTTAAAAGTGTGAAAGCGGATGAGACGGATATAAGGGGATCAGTTTAGTATGCTGTAATGGGCTGTAAATACATTTCAGCATTGTTTGAATAAACATAGAGTATTCTTTTTGACTTTCTGTGGTAGTGTTTATTACTAAAGGTGGACATCTATGTGTTGATCTGCTCAAAGGGCTCTCCTAAGACTAAATATAACCCTGTGAGATCTCCGAAGAGAAACATGAGAACGTCTCCTCTCCCATCTCCACCTTGGTTGCTATCCTGGCTCCCTGGCCTCCACAGCCATGAAACATTGCCAATGCAATTCAGTGGGTCTGCAGCTGACTTGGACTGGAGTAAGTTACAGTAGTTTCCTGGCAGGCTCTTGTGCAAAGGCACCCTGGCCTAGCACCGCAGTCCTGGAAGAATGTGTTAACATGACCCAATGTATGCCTCGCCGCCTGTGAGACCTTTTAGTCTCCAGTTCTAAGCCACGAGAAGGCTTTGGTTCACCTTTGCCCTTGTGCTCAGCCACTTGTGTGACCTTTTATTAACACACCTAACAGTCTCGTCACCCTGTCCTTTCTTTCCCTCGTTTTATTTGTACTCCATGCCCCATGGGTTACTGCCTGTACCCTTTAGCGCTTCCTGAATCCTAGTGTATCAAATTTAACAGCCGACTAAAATAATCACACTCAAGCTTCCCTTACTCACCCTCTCTCTCTCTGGTTTGTGTCCAGACATATTAGAAAATAGTTCTTCACATGTCAGTATTTTTCCTCTTAACACGCTGTAGTACTCACAAGTGTGTGTTTACCTAAACACCTGCTTCCTGTGATATCATGTTTCAGCCTGACCCAAGCTGTTCACACATCCCATTCAAGACCTAATCCCAGGTGGTTTGGTTTGGGCTTCTTCTTTTACAGTTTTGGCAGGTGGCAATGAAATCATTGGTGTCATATTGATTATAAAACAATGAGCACACAGTTTAAAAACGTGTGAATGGTAGAGTGCGCCTTTTTAAAATGACGACCAACAATATATTTTCTCATGTCCAACTCTTTACCGTTGACATATCAAATCTTAGGCCAAATGTTACAATTTAATTGTATTTATTTGGCCGTGTCCTCTCTTAATGCACATTCCTATTTATTTTTACAGTTGTCACCCACCTAAATGATCTCAGGGTAAGTAAATCGTTTATTTTAATGGAGGATACTTACCACCTTTAGTACTCATCAAGCCATTCACCTTACTTTAAGGGAAATTCGGAAACCCTAAAAACGTCCAATCCTTCCATCTTTGACCCCTCTTTACACTATTCTTCCTCCCAAACATACACATTGATCACACTACGTACCTCCC